TCATCATCATCATCATCATCATCATCATCATCATCATCATCATCATCATCATCATCATCATCATCATCATCATCATCATGTTCATCATCATCATCATCAGCATCATCATCAGCATCATCAGCATCATCATCATCCTCGTCGTCAGCATTAGCATCACCAGCATCATCATCGTCATCATCATCATCATCATCATCAGCATCATCATCATCTTCACCGTCGTCGTCATCAACATAATAATCAGCAGAACATCATCAGCATCATCATCAGCATAATAAGCACCATCATCAGCAGCATAATCAGCATCAGCAGCATCATCAGCATCATCATCCGCATCAGCATCAGCATCATCATCACGAACATCATCAGCATCATCATCAGCAGCATCATCATCGTCATCATCACCAGCAGCAGCAACAGCATCATCATCGTTAGCCTCATCCTCCCCATCATCAGCATCATCAACATCATGATCACCATCATCGTCAGCATCATCAGCATCAACATCATCAACATCATCATCATCATCATCATCACCATCATCATCGGCATCGGCATCAGCATCAGCACCACCATCATCATCATCATAATCGTCGTCGTCGTCGGCATAACCACCACCACCACCACCACCACCACCGCCGCCCATCATTATCATCAACACCACTACCACCACCACCATCATCATCATCATCAACAGCATCAGCATCAGCAGCATCATGATTACCATTATAATCATCAGCACCATGATCATCATCAACAGCATGAGCATCAGTATCATCATCATCATCATCATCATCATCATCATCATCATCATCATCATCATCAGCATCAGCATCAGCATCAGCATCAGCATCAGCATCAGCATCATCATCAGCATCATCATTACCCTGTTTCACCCCGCGTCCCTCCTTCACCTCCCCCTCCCCGACATGGACGGGCCCCCGGCTCGCCGCGGTCCTCTGCAACTTGGCCGGCGCTGGCGCGGGCCGCCTGGTGGCCTGCGCCTGGTGACCAGGCTTTGGCGCCTGCGCGCTCGCCGCCGCCGCCGTCGGCGCGGGCAGAGAGGGGAGGAGGGGCGGGAGGGAGAAGTAAGAAGAGGAAAAGCTAGCCATACCGCCGCTGCATTCGCTTCGAAACCCTGGTCAGAACGCACACCAGAGAGGTCCAGGGAGCTGGCGCTGCGAGGCCGAGGGGGTCGCGGCGCGGGTCCTGCAGGTCGCGAGGGAGGCGGGGCTCTTCCACTGGGAGGGCCCCCCGCGACAGCCCCCGCCACACTAGCCCGTGGCGGGGAGGCCGGCGCTGGTCCCCGCGGGGCGACGGAGGACGTCGTGGCCGGCCGCCGGCCCCCCCCGCGGCGGGGTAATTAACGGAGCTGCCTCCGGCAGTGCCGACCCTGCCCCTGGACGAGGGGGAACACGGCATGGAGGCCGTGTACGCCTGCGACTGGACGCCCTCCCTGTCGCTGGACGCCGTGCCCGACGGCGGTTGGGCGGGGGCCGCGCCCACGCGAAACTGGGCGGCCGGCGCAGCGTCCTCGCCGGACCCCACGCCGCGCGCTCCACCCCGGGCGGGCTCGGCCCCGCCCGCCCAGACCGCGGTCGTGACCCCGCCGCGGCAGCGAGAGCGCTTGGCCGACGCCGACGCCGGCGAGGACGGCTGCGACGCCAGCGCCGCCTGGCTGCCGCCGCCCTCCCCGCCGGGCGACGGCGCGCCCGCTGGGCCCGGGATGGAGCCAGGGCCACGGGCGCTCTGGGAAGCCGGCGGGCCGCGGCGCTGCGCCAGCAGGCGGCCGCCCTGAGGGCCTTCGCGGGCGACCGCGCCGGCGGGGCGCGAACGCGGGGGCGCTGCTGCTGGAAGCGGCAGCAGCAGCCGAACCCGCCGCCCACGGGCCTGCCGCGCTTCTCGAGGCAGCCAGGCGGGAGGAAGGAGGGCCCTGCCCTTCGGACGCGACCTGGCAAAAGGCAGGCTGCGCGCGGTGCGCGTTTTGCGGCACGGCCGGCCGCGCGCTGAGCACGCGCTCGCGACGGCGCCGGCCGAGCGCTCGCTGTCGGCCGCCCACGGCGGGCGGACCCGCCTCGCGGAGGCGCCGCCACGCCCCCGGCATGCCGCGGGCTGCGCGGGGCACGGAGGGCGGCTGAGCGAGCGCGGAGCGCGCGCGCGTTCGCGCGCGGTCCCCCCTTTTTCTACCCCCTCCCCCGCTTCCTCCGCGCCCCTGGTCGTGTCGTCCCCCGTCGTCGTCGTCCCTCCCTTCCTTGCCACTGGGCTCCTCTTGCGTTGTTGCAAGTGTAGTGCCGTGTAGATCGATCAAAACCCTATCATATGTGCACCTTCAATTGGACAACGTATGTTTTGAAGCTACAATGGTTGAATCCGGGCTGTAGCCGGCTCTATATGGAATATATCGAAGTTGTCACGTTCATGGGAGTGTGACACAGTCGTGCCTCAACCAGGGCCATGCTATGTCTCTCTAAGATTCGAGCTCACACTCTGGCTTAACCTGCTAAAGTTGCAACACATCCGATCAGAGCCACAGTCAGATTAGTCGTCCTACTAGATATACAAGCCCATTGCGCCCTACCAGAACTGGTTTCGCCCCTGCCAGAGTCATGTTGGAAGGACGTCTCAGAAAGATGGTGGCATACAGCTGCACCCGCAATCTTAACAGAGTCCTACCATAGTAACAAGTCTGATCGTAGCTACGGCGAGGCCCTGAACCTGAAAAGCCCATGCGATGTACCATTACATCGCGATAACTCTGGTACAACCCACTAGAGCTGCAAATCAACTAAAACCCGACTGTAGCTACAACTGTAATGCAACATGTCATACCTCCTTTCATCGACCCTGTTCCTCAGACCTTTCGCATCAAAACTCCTCCCGGCAATACAAGATTCGAGGGGGTGGAGGTGGATCGGGAAGGATGGCCGACTAAGAGACATATGCTAAGACATGAATTGAAAAGTGAGCGAAAGTGGCAAGGATAGTGGATGAGAACTGATGAGGAGGGGGATGGAAAGGGTTCATACTGAAATCTGATGAGGGATGATGAGGAGGCTTGAAAATGTGGGCGACTCGGAAGGAGGCTCACAGGGAGAGCTCCACGATGAGTCTCCGGGAAAAGGGTTGGAGGTGGAGAGGGCTTGAGGGAAGGAGGAAAAGAAAAACAGCTGAGCGAGGGCTGAAGAGGCGCATGATGGTCGAGTCCTCATCGATTGCCTGCCTCAGCCTTCCTCGTCGAAACTCCTGAGCCGTCCGCCTCAATCATCCTTATCAGCTCGCCTGCTCACCCTGCCTTCTCACAGTCGTCCTCTTCAACCCTCCCCCACATTCGTCCTACCAAACCGACTTCAGCACCGCGCATCCATGTGACTGTTGCGCTCTAATGGCCCGAAATACCGTGCTAGAACACCATTCTGGGGACTTCAGCCACACGAGCCCTTGACGCCGCTGCAGACTATAATGAAGGGGCCCTGGGACACACAAGGACATGCACACACATAACAGGGTTCCCCGTATTTTCCCATACTTCCCGTGTGTTGGTCTTCCACCACCCCCACTTCCCATATAACTTCCCATATGTTATGGGGGATCGACGATTCATTGTGTCTGTGTGTTTTCTTCCCTCCTGAACATCACGTGTCGAGAGCAGGCGCCGCCCTCCGTCCCTGCAGCTGCTGCAGGCAGTGTCAGGCGAAGCCTCGCGGCGCAGCGCGAGAGCCACGCTCTGGAAACCGGCCGCCCTCCATCCTGGAAGCTGCTACAGCTGTGGACGCCACGACAGTGGACCCCCTAGCAGTCCTATCCTTGACTTTATCAAAACGTGTTCAAGATGTCGGGACATGTTCAAAACATGCTTTTTTGCACACGCTTTTCCATGCTTAGAACATGTTTAACACATGTCGTGGGCATCTGGAAATGATTTGGCAACCTGTCTCCTCTCCACATATCGTCCTCCACAATGCTACATCCTAATAAAAAGAGGCCCTGGGACACACACTTAACTACACACCAATAACAGGATTCCCCCTGCTTTCCAATTTTTGTGTGCTTCCACCCCCCCCCCACCACTTCCACCACCCCCCCCACTTCACATGCTTTCGCAGTTTCCTGGAAGTTGACGATTCATTGTGTGTGCTTTTCTTCCCCTCCCGATACTAAGGCACCTGCGCGCGGCGAGAACGCGAGAGCGGCATCTCCAAAAAACCACCCGCCCTCCCTCCTCGCAGGTGTTGCAGACTTCGAGCCTCAGGGCCATCACTGGCAGAGGGAACCTCCAACGACACGCCCGACCCGTTCCGCCGAGAGGCGCCTGGCCCACCACCGACAGCGGCCCCGCGGCCTCGCCGGCGGCGGCGTCGCCGGGCAGGCGCGGCGGCCTCGCTTTGCGCGGCGCCCGCCGCGGCCGCTGGCGCCGCCGCGGCTCCCCAACCGGAGCCCCGAGACGACGACGACGACGACGACGACGACGACGACGACGACGACGACGACGACGACGGCGACGACGAGGGCGACGACGACGACGACGACGACGACGGCGACGACGACGACGGCGACGGCGACGACGCCCACGCAGACGCCGACGCCGACGCCGACGCCGACGCCGACTGTGCGAGGGCCTCGGCTGCCGCTGCTCCCTGAGATTGGGCGACGAAAAGAAAGGGATCGTACGCGAGATGACGCAGCGACCTGACGGCACGGCTAACGCGGGCCGCTGGCGCGGCATACTACATCGAAAACAAAGGGTGCCCACGCGCGACCTTGCGCGGGCAGCTTGCGCACCAACGGCGGTGAAGATGAACCCGTTGTCCTTCAGCGCTCGCTTTGTGGTCCCTTGGCGGCGCGCACAAGGGGGTAGGGGGAGGGGGGAAGGCTTCTTAGAAGGAGGCTGCTTCTCAGAAGGCGCCGGCCTTACATCTACAAAGAAGGCCCGCGCCTTCTAAGAAGAAGGGGTGCTTCTAAGAAGCCCTCCCCCCTCCCCCCACCCCCCTCTGCGCGTGGCTGAG